TTGTTAGACATAAGTTGAGTGTTTCAGCAAATTTACGCAATTTCGAGTAGAAGAGGCGCACCGCATTGCTGCAATCGAAGCAGGTACTAGAGCAAGGAAGGTAAAAAGTAACCATATGATGAATGGTAATATGAGCGCAGCGCAAAGTAGTGGCGGGGGAATGCGGGCACGGTGGCAAGGCGGCAAATGAAAGGAAGCAAGAAATTCAATTTGCCAAAGACACAAGTGACAACAGTTGTTCAAACTTTCCAAACGCTTCACAAAGTCAGCAGTTCACAGTGTCAGCACTTTGTACCGCACCACGCCTCTGCTCCGCTCTGCGTCCGTACATACTCACTGATACGCCTATCAATTTTTCAGCAACGCAGCAGTAGAACTTTTATACTTTTGCTGCACTCTGAACTTTTGCTGGAACCCAAACGCATAAAAGAAAGCAGAAAGAAAAACAAGTTGAAGGATTCATGCAGGGGGGCGGATGCAAATGCTCGCATAAAACTGGGTATGCTGCAGCTTGTTGCATGGAAATGACGGTAGGCCACAAAGTATGCTAACAAATTCCTTAGTTTAGCTGTAAAGTTTGCGAAGAGTAGTGAAATTGTCTTGTTTGAACACACTTTCCGTGTTCATCGAGACAATACAAGGCAGGCATGTAAATTTTCAAGCTGCAGTTAAACACGAAAGTTACCGGCGAATATATATGCCGAGTAACTTGCTGACTGCCTCGTTTAAGTAACAGTAAATTTTCGCAAAATTAATGCCGTTATAACATTCAAAGCCGTGCGAGTGTTTAACAAGAGTGTACATTTAGAGTTGCATGTAAAGAGGGGGGATAAACCGTTTGGAATTCTGTAGCTCGCACTCACTCCGGCCTAATTGGGCATATGTACTCATATAACGGTTGTTATGGTTTTAATTTGAGAAATACAGTTTGACATTACCAACCAAGGGTTGACCACTTTAAAACCCACCACCTAAGGATCGGCAGCGGGGAGCGGTGAAACAATTTGGAAAAAATCTACACAACGCACGAAATGCGGTGCTAACACACTTCTTGTTTTCGTTTTTGTTGTGATCACTCCTCTTCAATATTCACATACCTACATATTTCCTGTTCCGTTTTCATTGATGACAAGCTATTCTTAGATGCGTATGCATGTTTGTTTGTATGTATGATATGCCCTTGGGACATAGTTGAGAAATATTTGTTGATGAATTTTTATTTGCAAATTTTCGGTACCCTGGCAAGATGCCTCCGTCAACTGTGCATGAAATTGGGGTAACAAAACAAAATCGCTTCTATTGATGTGGTTTCATTGCAAGGAATTGCATTATAATAATGGGCTGCCCTTTGATGTTGCCGCACGAACGGGGAACTAAAACGGAGAGTAATAAAATGGAAACAAAATATCAAATTGCAAATCTGAATTCGAATGTTTGGTACAATAAACATAAAAGCGTACGAATCGCATTATCTTTCGGACAAATAACGGAGAATGACAAATTCCACATTGCTGTTGTTGTTGCGGTTGTGGTTGTGTTCTTGTCTTTGCTGCTGAGCTTAGCACAGTTCTGATTTTTACGCCGTTTATCGCAAGACACGCTCAAGTGCCCACAAAAGCCTTTAAATTGCAAAGCAACGCAACAAAAAACAATAAATAAAAATAGATTTTAAGCAAATATGCGCAGATTGTGAGGCAGCTTTAAGCTGTTGAACTTCGCTTTCACTTGGTTTCATTCGAGTCTATTTATTTTTTCGAGCTGAGTTTTTAATATTTTTTTTATCTCTATAGAATTTGGTATCAAAACAGTTATTAGCATGCCAAAAATTAAAATATTTCTTTATTTAACACAATGCTAAAAGCCTACCGTTGTCCCGGCACCAATTAAGAAAACTTGATTTTAGTTAATCGATTAACATTTTATCTCACTAATTATACAAATTTGAGAAACTAAATCTGCATGAAACTCATAGCCGTCGGAAAATGCATAAATATTGTATCCCCAGTAAGCGTCAGCTATTTCATCTAAGAGTTATTTCCAAAGTGATATTTTAAGTTTATCACAACTTTTAAAATATGTCTGAACGATGGTGACATCAGATAGAACTCAACGAATCTGATCCTCTTATAATATATGATAGAAGTCAGAAGCTTTGAACTCACTGTCAAAAGGATCCACAAACTGGTTTTTTTCATTTTAAAAGAGAAAATATATCGACTGATGATTCGCTTCCAAGGCGTACAACTTTGGACCTTTAGCAAAAATTTCTAAACTTGTATTTTCAGAAAGAAATTCGGCAAAGATGTTCGTTATAACGGGTGATCCAAGTAGAAGTACTTTTTTGAATAGCTTTTTCTTTTTGACAGCTCTCATGTTGTTTTTGTTCTAAATTTTAATTTTCTGTGTTTTTTTCTTTAAAAAATTAAGGAACCTCGAAATGGCACACCCTATACATATATTAATAATTTACAAAGTTGGGCAACAACAGTAATTTTCCTAAATGAAACTAATAGGAATAGAAAAAAAAAGCCGTAAAGGTGTTTGGCATTGTTCTCTTTAGGGTTATACCAGATAATATCTACAAATAAATAATTTGTATTTTCATGTTCTTTGTGCCGTCCGAAGCTGTTGCCCCACTCCTTGGTTAAATTTCATATTCCATTGCAACATACAAAGTTAGAATATAGGTACACTAACCATTTTGTACCTCGAATATCTAATAATAAATAAGAGATGATAAGGAGCATTGATAAATTATATATATACATATAACAGCTATTAATTTCTCAAAACTCGTTGCGTTGTAAATATTTTTTTAAACTGTGTATTCTATAATCGTAGATGTATTCGAAACCCATATTCGAACGGCCATCAATCATGTTTTTTGTAAGTTTGTCAGATTTGTAAAGATGCGGAGAGCACAAATTGCCGAAAGCTGATACAAAATTGCTAAAGACGCACTCACACATACATGCGGACTTGTTGTGCAACTTGCTAAAACAGATTTCAAATATTTTAGAGTTATCATATCTTCTATAAAATAACCCTCTTTTTTTTAGAACTTTCTATAACTTTGCTTTAACTTTTCTGGTGGCTTGTCTTTTTCGGCGAAAGTGTGCGGTTTAACCAAAAATGAAATCAAAACTTTACTTGAACTTCACACGCACACACAACCATACACATATTATCCGCTGGTTTGCTGCGTTGGCGGGGAAGCTGATAACACCAAATTGGATAACGACTGGCGATGGGATAACTTTCGCATGCTGCTGCTGTGTTGCGCATTTATTGACAGGGTTATCACTGTATGTTGTAGTTTTCTTTATGTGTATATATGCATTTATAAGAGTATGCTGTGACAACAATTACTTAATACATACATGTATATACACAGATATATTGTCAGCTAAGGCTAAGCGCAGCGTATTTGACAACTCAGAACTATTTTTATGGGGTTATAAAGATATTTCGTTTTTGTATGTACACAAGTATAATACCTATATATATCCATATGGGAACTTGTAAATAACTGTACAATACAAACCACGCACACATGTCTTAAGTTTGCAACTTTTTGCCCTTAGATAGCGAACACGAGTTGCTTTAAAGTTGCCTCAAATATCCTTGAAATGTCAAATATCACCGGACAGCTACCGACATGTGCACACATACATTTAGGTACGCCCTGACGCTTCTTCTCTTACTAACTATCTACGTTCGCGCGCTTCGCCGGGCAACCACGGTGCTGTGGCAAGTCCTGCGTGCCAACTTAGCGGTCAGTGGGCAGAATATCACTGCTCTTCACTCCCTTAATTCGACGTTTTTATTTTCTCATATCATCAGATAAGCTTCCAAGGATTGTCAGTCAGCTTGCCTGCAATTTTCTTTTCTCCATTTTTGTTTAAGGTCATGCTCGCAGCAAGAACTACTTATGTACATAATTACAAAAATTTGCAGAAATCAATTTTTGTTTTTGTTTTTTTTTATTGTAGTTATCACTTGTTATACTGCCTAGCATTTGAGTTTGTTCAAAAATTCTGTTTGAGTAATAGAATTTGCGCAAATCTTAAAGTTTATGATTTCTAGGTGAGATTTGATTTTCAAAAATCTGCCCAAGCTGATCATGACAAAAATACTCTTTTCAACCTTACTCATTTGCTCATAAGATAAAAGCCATTTCTTTTCAAAGAGCTGCCTAACATAAGTATATGACAAGTTCATGCTCAGTTTCCCCAGAACAATTCGTACTATAACACAAGAAATATAGAATAATACTTCTTCTAAAGATTCGAATATTTTATTGATGCGAAAAACTTCAAAATGATTTTCATCAATTACTGAACATTCTAACAGGTGATGACTCTCTTGATATCTTTAGTAGTTCTGCTTTTTATTCACAGACAATGTTTTCACATTAGATGTCCGTTAGAGCGTATTTGTGTATTTGTGTACTCCTATATCCCTCAATAGCTGATTCTAGAGTGTTTTATTTTCAACAGCTTGTTTGCTCTTCATTTCCCATTATTTACTTTTCATTCTTCTTCGTTTACACTTCGCATTGCGTTGGGCTATTTCGGAATTTTTAATTTTCTTTCTCAATGCTTATTGATTGGTTTACAGTTGTTATTTCAAATGAGCAGGATGTTATTCCTTTGTGATTTCATTTTTTGGGTTGCTCTTTGAAGCACTCGAAATTAATTCTTAAAAGCGCAAGTAATTTAAGGAATTATTTACGGAACAAAAGAAATAAATAAAGCAACTAAGATTGGAGGTTATACCCTCACGTGCTTAACTTTCCTATTTTTGAGGAAAAGTTATTATATTACTGGTACCAAATTATAGTACCAATTATAACTGAAAACCCAGCATTTATTACAAAACGCCTACATTTGGACGTAAACACCAAAGAGCTGCAATATCTCTTTCAGCATATATTCGCAAATTGCACAACTATTTAATATATCGTCACACAAATATGAACCCTTTTCCTTTGCACTCACCTGGTCAACATGTTCGCCCGATTCACCGCCACTTCGGCTTCAACACGAAAGCGATCCTGCGCGTAACGATCCACCACGCCTTCGCCTAAATTTAATGACGTACCCGCCTCACAATTGGCACCAAGCAAATGTTGGGTTTCAACGATTTGCAAGAACTTCGTTACGACATCACGACCGCGCATCAAGTTTCGCCGATTATTACGCGATATCTCGTCCCAATCGTAAATCTCATCTTCGTTTGCCGCATCAACTACACCGGCCAAAAACCGATTCGTCTCGTCGTCTTCACCGTTATCGGTTTCGTTACCGTCCTCTTCACTACCATTTACGTCTGCACTCACATCACCCGAACTACTCACTGGAAAACCGTGTGCATTGCGATTATCCATATGGCCATCGTCCATTGTTATGTCGTCAGTATTATCTAGTACAACATTCTCGAAATTAATCTCTTCAATCTCGAAAGACTGCTGTCGATCTAAGCCAATACCACCGACACTCGTGCTTGGCAACTGATTGGGCTCTTGCGAAAAGTTACTGGTTAACCAAATGGAATCTTGGTAATCAGCTCCACTTTTAATGGGTTCCAAAGTGTTCAAAGTTGCATTGTTTTCTTCAGCAAGTGATGCCGTATCGTTACTGAACTCAGCGCTTTGGAACTGCGACACCTCAGTTGTGTCATGCATCTCATTCGAGTAAACGAGGTCTTTGGGTTTCGAAGCTATCTTCGTGTTAACGAAGCCATGCTCACTTAAACTGCCGCTCCATGCCGTGTTACTGCCAGTATCATGCCACGTGCTTCGCTCGTTTGTGGCAATTTCATTTTGGTGCGCCACAGACTGCGTCTGATTTTTCCACTTCATTATGGTTGCGAGTTTCGGTTGCACAACTTCTGCCTTCGTTGAAGTTGTCGGCAACAATGTCAATTTAGTTGGTGCTACTGTTTTTGGTATAAGTTGCAATTTTGTTGTTGCCTTTTTTGGCAACTGCTGCGTGGGAGCGTTTGTGGTGATTTCAACAAAAGCGCCGTCGTTAAGAATTTCGGTGACTGATGCATTTGCTGCACCACCCAAAAGTGTAGCCGATGTTGTAACTTGCTCAGACTCAGCACTTTCTGCGGCTCTTGTGGTTATATAGCTTGAGCTTGTCGTCATGTATTCGTCGTTTTGGTAAACATCCTCCATGGAGTTGACGGAGATATCTAATTCGTCTGCTAATTGCAAAACCTCATTCAATGCTCTGTCGCTTTTGCTGGTGCCAACCATGTCGGACAATAATGTGTTATCGCTTGCATCTTCACTTCCACCGACACTCTTATTGGTCATGTCATGGTCATTATTTTCATCACTATCGTCCTCATTACCCCCCGCACCGTTATCGATATCCGCGTCTTGATCATCACTGCGGCTGTTGAAATCTCTACCTCCATCTGCGTCTTCATCATCGGTGACAGTTTCATCTGCGCTGAGGTTAACACCTTCACTGTCGGTATTGTCCTCCACACTGCTATCATCCTGCATGTCTGTGCCGTCCGCTGCACTGCCTTCGTCATTTTGTATTTCCACATCCATTGGCCTACCTTGCAGCTGTTCAGCGGTCATCAGGCTGCGGTGATGGCTCTTCGATGTCTTCACACCAATACCCTTGTTCGCATTGTTGCGTATGCTCTCCATTATCTTCTTCATATGCAGTTTGCGTATGCGATGTGTAACTGGCGCTTCGGTGGTGGCGAGCCCACTAGGACCAGCATCTGGTGTGTCGGTTGTTTTCGCTGCTTGGTGGGAATGATCCAGCGATTTGTGTGATTTGTCAGTGTATTTTCGTTTAATAGCTGAATGTGACCGCCTTTCTGGTATTGCGTATGCGGCAGGATTTAATCGCTCCGCCGGGTTAATTTCCGAGCTTACCAAAGAGCCATTCGCATCCGAGTTTTGCCAATAATCGCTGCCGAATAAATGTCCATTCCCCGTTTGTATGTTGCTGTCCGCATCGACGCTCCAAAGTTCACCTAACCGGATTTGCTTCTCGTTGAGTTGTTGAGCTTTCATCCTGCTCTGGTGCACAGTTAGGTTGTACGCAACGCTTTCTGCAGCACCGGACATCAACTCATTATCATAGTCGCTTGCCATCATATCACTGCTCGCTAAGTCCGCGGCGTTTTGTGAAATATTTGCGGTGATACTCCTTTCGCCCTCACCTTGTCCTCGGGTGTTTGCGGCTGCTTTAGCATTATCGTTTCCTGCTGGCGTGTTTTGTGGTCGCATGGCCCAAAGGAGATGCTCCTTCTCATTGGAGTGTCGCACCTTAGAGCGTCCGTGACGGATATTATATAGGTCAGTGTGCTCGGAGCTCATTTCCGCCACGACAATGGCGGACTGCAACACTGCGGTGGATGCGGCAACACCAGCATCCGCATGCAAGTTGAAGTTAGAGCATGTTTGCAACAACAACATCAGCAATACCAACGGTCGGTGGTAAGCTGTGTGAGCCCACATCGTTTTACTGCTTGATATTTGGAATATATCCACTAATTATTTATTGTTACAGCTTGTATATTCGACTTGTGCGTTTGTGATGGTGATCATCAATTGATTATAGCGCTAGGTTTTTAACGTTCAACTCGCTTGTAGCTCGCTTTAAATCTGCGTTACTTGCAACAGTAACTGTTGCTGCTCTTCTACTCCTCTGCCTTTCTGCTTTGACTTATGTGCCTCAGACGGATTTGCGGTTGGCTTTACTTGCGCTATTTCCACTATCTCTTCAGCTCGCGTTTAATGCGCACTTTCTTCTTTAATACTTTTAATGGCGAACTTAATTGGTGCAATAACAAAGCCAATGAGTGTTTAATTGCTCTTATCGCGGTCTCATCTGCTTCTGGCGTCATCATTTCGCAAGCGCGGCAGAAGTGGCATCATCGTTGCCTGATGTGTTGACACTATGTGGTCAGGGTTCATGGGTCCCCCGTTCATGGCACATCACTAGCGTAAATTAAATTCTGTATAATCGGCTATTAAATGCCAATCGTTTGCCAGCAGCCGAGCAAATGCGTTAGCGAAAAAAGGAGTGGCGAAGAGAGTAGTGGCAATATTGGCCGGAAGTCAGCTACGGATCTGCAAAATAAAATAAAATTGTTGTAATTTAATGTTAATTCGTATATAATATCTGAAATGCGGCTTTGCATAAAATTAAATGGCCGTACTTATTTCACACGATATTAAATGGGCTTTATTGATAATTAAACCAAAAACTATTGGTTAAGATATACAAATTTAAATGCATTTTATTGTTGATAACTATTCAGCGTAAAGTCGGTTCAGATTCGTTCAAGTTAGTACCAAACACCTCCGTGCATTTCATATTCTAATTTTATATCGAGCATATTCTGGTTCATTATTTAAGTAATGAATTACTATTAGCTGTCTTCGATTAGTCATTTCTCTGTTCGCTTCTGCTTTCTTGTCAAAAAATGTACATGTGAAAGCAAAAACAAAGTTATCGAGTTGAATTGAAGCAAGAGGGAATGCGGCTACTTCATTAAAGTGGTATAACTTCTATCTTAAATGCTGCCAAGTTTTGTTTTGAATATTTTAGCTCACTTTTACTCTTGTGAATGGTTCAAATGATAAACGAACATATTAATTTGGTATTTTTCTTGTATTTTTAAAATGTCAACTATAATAAACCATAGAAAACCAAAATACAGGGTTACAGCAACGTTTTTAATACAAAAAAAGAAGAATTTTTCCACTAAAAAAGAATCATAACGCTATTGTCCATGCGCAGGTTTGCACCACAAGTAATGCCTCTTTTTTTGAACCTATGATATAGTTTGTTCGATTCGCTGGAGAGTAACGTTTGACGAATCGAAGATAGCATTTATTTATAAGACTTTTTGGATATTTAATACATACTTTACATTCAAGTTATCGAAACGGAAAGAAAAATGTCAATGTTTAAGGAAATTCCGACACAACTTTCAGAAAGAAAATCAGAATTATAATAATAAAACAATTAAGGCTGTTGCTTAACTACTTGCAACTAATGAAAATCAAATTTTGCCCATGAACACACGGAAGAAAGAAATATGGATTATTCATAATTTTTGTAGTTAAGGCTTCGCATATAATACATTCCTTTATCGTCTGTCACACTATATCACTTATATATAGTTTCGGTAATTTATAACGGGGTGATATCTGGGACGTTCTATTTATTCTAAGCCTTTTGGATCACACCATAAACCCTTCCATTCTTTAGTCCAATTTTCAAATAAAATCCAATCACTAGTAATGATTAAAAGGTAGGGTACTTATTACTCTGCCTCAAATGTTTAAGCCAACATCTCATCCATGCCAAATGACCTAAATAATCCAGTTAGTTGTAGTATACCCTATATAGTTCTATCTCCGCAGAAAAAGATATTTAACCTTATTCAGTATCCTTCTTTTGTGTTGAGTAAAGATTTTTTGCTTCGCAAAAATTGTAAATTGTTTGTTGTATTGAAATTTTAAATGGTGAAATATTTAGTTAGTGACAGGCGTTAATTAATTGATTAAACACCAAACTTAATTCATAAATCAATTTATCCTGTCTAACCGAAATACTCAGATTCCTAAATCATAAAATAAAGCGTAAGCGAAAAGGTTCAAAACTGGCTAACTTTGGTTCTGTTGTCTCTTAAAAAGGATACTACACCTTTCCGCCAGACCTATCAAAGCACACGACTAATCACTGCGGTCTCTCTGCTTTATTTGAATAAACTTTGAAACACCCGCTGTGTCGATATAGTATTTCTCAATTACAATTACGCCACTCATAAAATTTCGACACACTTGAGATTTGGTTAATCTGAAATGCGGCAAAGTTGTTTTTTGTTCAAGCGGCACAATTAAGGCGCCATAAAGCAAAGTAGGCATTCACTAAATGCTTGTTTCCCAAAAGTTTGTAGAAAACAAGGCGGGTTTCTATAGAAATGGGATACAGCAACAAACAAACAAGAAACAGCGAGGAAAGTTACGCGCGCAACACACAAGAGCACGCGCACGCTTGAGCGCTTATGAGCGTTTTCGGTTCCTTGGGTATTTATGAATACTTGTGAATGTATGAAGCCCCAACACCCACATAAGCACGAACATGCCCGTATCGAGTGCATACCAGAGGCTTATGTAAATATGCTAAAATGTGTGGTAAAGCGGAAATTTTTAATTGCTGCTTAAAGGCAATGGGCAAGAAAAGTGCGCACGCCCGCTGCTGAAGAAAAGCACGACATGAATGACGAGCAAAAGTGACTGGCAAAGTGGCAGGCATCGTTGTATGCAAATGTGAGCTTAATACAACAATCGCTAAGTGATGAGGGAGGGAGCGAGTGAGCATAAGCATGCGAACGTTAAGTTTTGTGGGCGTGCGACTACAAGGTCGGCGGTGTCGCGACGGTTGTTGCAATTGCGGCGCTCCAATATTAACTTTCCCACTTCGGAACTACAACAATAGCGCTCGTGTACTGATTGTACAGGCGTGTAATTACCAAGCGGTATGCGGTGTTGGCTCACACACGTGCGCAATTATTTGAGGATACGTACACGATTTATTTGAGGGCATACTTGCCAGGTTGCCACTTTCTGTTTAAGCATCTTATGAGAACTGATGTCAGAACACTTAACACCAGCTTTCACGCTCAACAACAGAAATGTAAAGCCTTCAAAATCCGCATAATATAATAATATTAGTGTGCTAAGAGGTATCGGCGTCAGTCCAAACAGTGAGGAGGTAGCCCGCCTTGATTTACTAAGCGAAGCTGCACAGTTGTTGTATTGGCCCAGCGCACCATATACCATGTTGCGCTGCTTTCCCCAGTATGAGAAAGTTTGTGAAGCAGCGCATGCATTATTTGACAGCGCGCCATCTGCCACTGATGCCAGTGTTACCACAATAATTACGCTCACATCAATTTTCGCCATGTCAAGCTGTTGCTGTCGTATCTCAACTCCCATTCACATAAATTTGACAAACCGCCACGGTTGTAACGCCGTTCAATCTGTTTGTGTGTCGAGCGCAGCTGCAGTGTAATGACGAAGGGTGGAGGAGCGGCATAGCGTTGCTTTTCTTACAAAATGGTTGCATTTATTCTGCCCTATGCCTCGGCTATCAAAGTTTCGGTTTATTCCTCAGAATTTTGTCTTCTAATCTGAAAAACGCGCAACATTTTCTGCTCATCTCAAAACGTAAGGGTGAGATTTTTTTTGATATACATTTTTTTTTTTAAACAATTTTTTCTACTAATTATAAAGAATCGATTAGTTTTGTTAAGCTTAACAATAAATATTGCACATGAGTTGGCTGGCATTTTTTTGTTCTTTTATCATGTAAAAAATGTAACATTTATATAATGTTTCCGTAAAATGAGGCAACATTTTTATCGAGAAAAAAAAAACGTTATAACTTTGCATTTGTCGCACATCGTAGTAGATGGTGGCGAGTGCATATAGATGAAAATGAGATGCGAGTAGGGAAATTAGACAAAGTGGCACCGCGTAATGGCCTACCAACAAAGTGGTATTGAAATAGTTGTATTGAAATACAAAACAAAAACAGAACATTGTGATGCGATGGTAAAGCATTTTAAGAATCGAAAATAAATTTTGAAAAATTTTTAAATTCCGTCCCGATTGAATGAATGCCATAGCCAATCTGCAGAAGGACTGACTACTGAAAAAAGGTGTCTGGCGATGAGGAAGATTTTTCTGTTTCAAACCAAAAAAAAAAAAAATAGCTTGACAATAAACGAATACAAATATTGTAGTAATCGAAGTACTAATCAAAATTTTGATTTTTAATAAAATGTTGTAAAAGTACATCTGAAGTCTATGGGTAAATCATACAGTAACATGCAAGCAATTCTATTCAAACGTGCATTCACAATTTAGTCTAGCATTACAACTGAAAATAATTGACACAAAATAAATTAAAAACTGAACTATTTCATTTTACATAACCCCAATTGGTCTGTGGTTTGGTACACTTCATTTATATACAAAGCTTTCTGAAAATTCAACAAAATATTTGCATATCGATAACAGATGTATCCACATGTGCAGTCAGTTATGTAAAGTCAGTCAAGTCAGTCCTTAAAAGCTCTTCGATTTCCGACCATTTAATTCCGTAACAGGTGCGTCCGCATTCAGTTTGGTATTTTCAAGCATTTGTCATTGAGTGATGAGTACAATTTAAGTGTCACACCTCACGTGCTCAAACACGAGTGGCTGTGTGGTAGAATGACATTCAATTATTGTTGTTGCTGCAAAGCATTACCTTCTGTTTCATAACACAACTACACAAATGCAAACATAAGTGTACGTGTGTGTGTTCGAATTATTGCCTTAACCTCATAGTATGCACTCCGAATGGTCTTTGCCGTTAAATAAATGTTTATTTAAAACGAATTAAACATTCTGCTGTCACCCTATGTGTGTGTGTGTGTGTGTGTTTGCGATTGTGTTTGCTGTCCACTCTGTGTACACAAATAAACGTCCGTCTACAGAAAGAATGGCATAAATGGAATTCTCATGTGTTATTGCTTTCAGAACTCATTTCGTTTAATATTACCTTTAGAGTCGATAATTTGAACTTGCCCCCACCCACCTCAACAACACCATCCACACCGCACCGAGCTGCTAACGCAAGCACGCAGGCACACACACATTGCCAATGCCTGTCATCAATCGATGGCGGCCACTTTGCATTGCTTGGCACGCTCGTGCAGCCAAAAACATTTCCATTTTAATTTAGTTCAAGTCCTTCGGCTCCAGCACAGAGTAGGGCATTTCATTACTTTCACGTTCACTTTCGTGATATTTAGTTTCATTTTTAAAGCCTTGGTACTGCAGCTATTCCATGAAGTACTCAGCTGTATGTAAATTGCCATTAGTTGAGCTCAAATTGTATGTGTGGACTTCATTTGAAAAGCTGCCGTTGTCCTCTGCCCGAATTTACAATAAAGTCGAACATATTTAAACTCGCTTTATTTTGTGTGGGCAATGAATTTTAGTTGAGAAACGTTTTTGCTTTCAGAACAAATCATTATAAACGAATTTTAGAGGTCAAATTAAAAGCG